TGACTTTTGAAGCTTATATCTCATAATATATAAGAAATTAGGAAATGAGCAAAAAATACAAGTTATAGCTCTTGGAGTCTAGTTTTCATAAAGTCAAACCATTCATCATTTAGAGTTTTGTATAAAAAGTTATGACCATTATATTAGAGGCTGTCTAAGAAGAGTTTGAAAATGACTTTTGAAGAATTTGTTCATCGCGAACGCGAAGAACAAACCCCTAGGCAGCAGAATAAAGTCCAAATTCGTGTCATTCTTCTATTTTTGGACCAAGGAAGCTCGGGTGAGGCGATTGTTTGAGAGTTTTTCAAGGAAAACATAGGGGTAAGAATTTCTAACTTGATTTTGGTTAAATTACATGAATCTATTGTTATTTTTATCACTAAATTAATGAATTGTATTGAAAAATTTAGAAAACCCTCTTGGTTTAAATTTATGATTTGGAGGTCGATTTGTTATTGGAATTCGATAAAATTTATATGGTTGAACTCGTATCGAAATGGGTGTTCGGATTTTATAAAAATTATGTCGGGTTCCGTGAGGCGGGTCCCGTGTTGACTTTTATTGACTTTTTGGAATAAAATTTAAGTCGACGTATTATTATCCGAAATTATTTTCGATGAATTTTAATGAAGTGATACAATTAATTTGGATAGATTTGAGCGGTGCGGAGGTCAATTCAAGCAAGAAGGCGATTTTGGAATATCGGCAAAATTTCAAAGCGGTAAGTGTCTTGCTTAATCTCGAGTGAAAAAATTACCCCTTAGGCATCGAGTCTTATGTGCCATTTGTTAAATGTGAAAAGCCGTGTACGCGAGGTGACGAGTACTTAATCGGATTATATGTGTAAATTTTAATTGAGTTTAAGTCTTGAGCATATTGTGTGGTAAATTGGGTAATTGTTGGTATATATTTAATCATCTATTTATCGTGCCTAAATCCTTGTTGTTGTTGAATCTGTTGTTACATGACAATTTGATGTGATTGTTACTTGATTATTTATGTAATTCCGTGAATTTGTTGGTTTGATAATTATTGGAATTGAATTTCATTATGGATTTTTCCTCTGCAAATAATTAATTAAATGAGCTTAAAAAGAGGTATTTATATAATTATTAAAATTTTGAATTTAATGAAGACTTTGCTTTATGTTGAGTCGTTTCTATATCTATTGGTTATTTTGGGTGTTGTACACATTGTTTGGAGCTTTTGGCTATTTATTGTGAAATTAATTAATTTTGTTATATCCTTGGAATTTGTTGTGGTCATTGAGCAAACTGTAATATGAATTGATTTTGTTATATTGCCATGATAACTTGCCGTGTAAATTATTGTGTTGTGTGAATTATTATTTTGAGGAGATAAGGGTGGCATTTCACCGTTGTTATTATGTGGGTATAAGGTTGGCATTTCACTGTTATTGTGTTGTTGGAATATTATCTGGGCGGAGCGATAAGGGTGGCAATANTATTGTCTGGGCGGAGCGATAAGGGTGGCTATAGGAGTGATAAGGGTGGCAATAGGAGCGATAAGGGTGGCTATTGTCAGGGACGATATGTGATGATGTGGGGTTGTGGTGTTGATGATTTTCATGTGATGTTGTGATTTTCTTGTGTTTATTTTTATACCTTGTGCAATTTGTGATGTTGTTGGTAAATTGATAACAATATGATTTATGTTGAAATTGAGAGCCTGTGGCTATGGCCAGACGGATTATAAAATGAAATGTGGGCACGAGGTGCTGTGAGTAAATAATGAGGATATTTGGCACGTGAATTGTCCATGTAGTTGAGATATGAAATGTGAGCATGAGGTGCTGTGATGAAATGATAATGATATTTGGCACGTGAGTTATCCGTGCAGTTGTGATATGAAATGAGGGCACGAGGTGCGGGAAAATATGATGATTTAATTATGGGCACGAGGTGCCGTGGAAACATTAAAAATGGGGTGGGACCCGTGTTTATGAAAAATATAAAAATGGATTGAGACCCGTATTTTTATTGTTTTAAAATGAGGTGTCACATGGTGACTTTTAATTGAAAGAATTATATTCAAAATATTTATTTGGAAGGATTTTTATTCAAAAAGAATTATATGAAATACTTGTATTTGAAAGATATTTATTTAAGGAAATTATATTTGAAGATATTTATTGAAAGAATTTTATATTCGAAAGATATTTATTTGAAGAAATTATATTTGAAAAAGAGTTTTATTCGTAAGAATTATGTGTGAAAGATATTTAATTGAAGAACTTAATTTAACTGGGTGTAAATGTATTTATCAATTGTTGAGCGATATTAATGGTGATTTTATTATCTTAGTGTGCACATCACTGGTTGTTTTATATTGCCCTTATTGTTATTTGTTTCCTATTATTTTGTATATTATATTGCACAGATTATTAGACTAGTGAGTGTCTTGACTGTAATCGTCTCTACTCCACTGCGGTTAGTCTTGATACTTACTGGGTACCGATCGTGGTGTACTCATACTACACTTCTGCACATTTTTGTGTAGAGCCAGGTATTGGAGACATTGGACTTGAGCAGAGTTAAAGCGGGATCGTAAGGATTCAAAGTAGAGCTGCTTAGTCGTCGCAGTCCCTTGGAGTCTTTTTTATTTCATTGTACTGTTAATGTGTAATCAAACAGTATTGTATATTCGGTCCTCGTGATCATTCCATGTATTTAGTTAGAGTTCGTGACTCAGTACTACCAGTTTCGGGAGGCTGTATATTGTAATTATTTTCACTGTTAGTTTTAAAAAAAAATAGTTTCAAAATATAATTGAAATCGGCTTACCTAGTCTTAAAGACTAGGTGCTATCACGACGCCTGTGATGGGATTTTGGGTCGTGACAACTTCAAACACCACACGAAAACAGACGAATGGCAAATCATGTACCCAACGAAATCATTATGAATATTCTCTCAAATTTACCGGTGAAATCCTGTTACGATTCAAGTGTGTTTCTAAGCCATGGAATTCTTGGATTTCAAGCCCAAAATTCCAGCACTCGAATCAACGACAATAAGGAGCGATAGCCATGATGTCTAAACACTATTCAAAGCGCAAAAAAAGGTTATTCAGAGTCAACGGCCTTCCGATTCATAAACCAACAACTCATTTTGAGAGACCGCAAGTTTTCTTACGTGATAAGGGATGATGAGATTATAACAGGAACTTGTATGCTTTTGGATTCTTGTCATGGTCTTATACTGGTTAATATAAACAAGCATATCTACTTGTGGAATCCTGCCACCCGATTTTGCACCAAAGTGCTTGAGCTTGACCGCTTGTATTCGGAGGGCTATTTTATAAATGGGGGGCTTTGTTTTGACTCATCCAAGAAAGTTTACAAGGCAGTGCTAATTATGCAGCATCAGACCCGAGATGATGGTGGTGAATTTGTTATAGTTGCCAGTCTAATGAAAGACAAAAGATGGAGGAGAGTCAAATTTTCTTGCGACTTCCGCTTAGTCCATAATGGGATTACACTGCATGGACCGATGGACGACTTCACTACAGAGTAAGGTTTATGTGAGATAGTTTTTGTCCTTGTAAGGAAATAATTTATTTTGATCCTATCTCTGAAATGAAAAGTTGCACATGTTACCCGTCCCTGAGCCTAAAACTGATCAAGGAGAGAATGCTATAGTTGGTTTAGGAGTTTTAAATGAATTTCTATGTATAGCTTGCTTGAAAGAGCATATAAGGGGAGTGTTGAGATATTTGTCATGAAGGAATATGAGGTAAAGGAATCATGGACAACCTTATTTTTCATAAGGAATCTAGAAATACATCCTTATTATGGAATTGTAACGCCCTTTTTCGTGACTGGAGATAGAGAACAAGTTTTGGAGATATATGATCTTGAAAGAAAATTTGTTATATACAATCCGAAGAATGATAATATGCAAAACATATTCATGTTGGCGGAAAGAAAGTATCTATATGTCGCACTCGCACCATTAGCTATGTGGAAAGCTTAATCTCGCCAAAGGAGTACTACTGGAGTAGAAAGCGCCACAAAAAGTTTGGACAGCTAGATATAGTTAAAAAATTTATCTAATCTTTTTTTAATTGCTTAATTGATGAATTTATGTTCTGTTTCATTTTTCTTTGTTCTAAGCATAAAAAAAAAATATCAGACTAGTTTTTTTTTTTGGTATTGGTAGCATGAATTGTGTAGACTTTTTAATGTAAAATGTAACAAAAATATTTGTTTTCTTGTGTGTTTAAAAAGCTCTTCTCCAATTTTTAACTTACTGACTTCACTGTAGCTTGTCAGTGAAACCAAGCTGAATCCAAATTGCTACCAACAGATCGGACTTGTATATCTACACCATATAATTAATTCAAAACACTATGTTTGATTATCTTTCAAGTTTGAAGAGTGTCTTGTGAGTATATTTGTTGATTTCACTATCTAAACAAGTTTGTAGAGAGGGGAATGGGCGTCTTCCGCCGCCCTTAAATAGAAAATTAAAAAATATATAAAGTAAGCTAAATACAAATGAGAGTACTAAAGAAAACTAAATACTATATCACAATATAACTGGCTACTTAATTTGAGGCAATTTGAATTAACTTTTGAGTTTGTATAAGAGTTACTCCTACCAACTGATTAAATTTCCTAAAGAATAGATCTATTACAAAAAATACTTAGTTAATTTAGAATTTACAAACTTAAACACCAAAATGAAAGTAGAAGATTAAATTTTCAAGAGAGGAATCAACAAATATTTTTTAGTTGTTCTAACAAGATGCTTTCCATATATTTTAATAAAATTTTCCGTATGTAGGTGTGGGCAAAGATGCGGTTTTGAGGCCCTCGTCCGTCAAGGAAGGGGCTTCGGCCTCTGTTCCAAAGTCGGTGAAAGATAATAAGAGGAAAGGGGCCTCCATTCTCGAAGATCCAAAACCGAAAAAGAGGACGGCTCGTAAGCCGAACAAGAATACCATTCCTTTGACAGTAGAATCAGTTTTGCATCTAAGGGATGAAGACGAAGAAGAAGAAGAAAATGTTGGGTCCGCGGTGGCGGCCCGAACGAATAAGACCACCGACGTTCCACAGGCAGCTGGATCGATGGTGGTTTATAAGGCTCCGACTCGAACTGAGGATATATCGGAGAAAATTCAGACAGAGTCCCCGAGTTCTTGGAAATCGAAGATGCTTTCCACTGAAGCCAACGGATGGGGGATATGTAAGAAGGAGCTCTCTCTGAATCTCTTCGAATCGAAGAGAATTCTCCAAGTGATTCACTTGGGGCAGTAGCAATCGAAGACTCGCCAACCTTCCCTACTTTTTCCGCAGGGGCGATTCGGGAAGCCCAAGCTTTGGGACCCCTCGAACTAGACATGCCTCATGATGGAGATGATGCTTTTCATGACCTTTTTACTAGTGTCGAGGACGTTGCCGGTACTAGTGATGTATCGGATCGTTTTCACGGAGTGCAGCAGGCTTTGAATCAGGTAAGCCTTAAATTATTTTGTTGGCATTACCTTTATGTTTGCCTTTCTTTTATAACTTCGTTTCTTCTTTCTTTGTAGGCCGCGGCAGGTCATCGAGAAACATGTTCTCGGTCTCGAACCGAGCTGCATCGATACGAGACCGACCTTCAACGGGTTACGGAGGAGAGGAACTCCCTTAAACTTCTCTTAGGGCAAAGGGGAGAGGAAATAAAAGACGACCAAGCTGAGTTAGCCAAGGCTCACCAAGATCAGACCAATTTGTCCGAGTAAGTAATGATACTTTTAAAAACCTATGGGCTCGATACCAGAACGATGGCTAATTTTTCGGTCTCACAGCTGCAGCAGAAAATTGAGATGATCGGAAAACTCCGTGAGGAGGTCGATGTGATAAAAGCGGAGTCTTTGAAGTGGAAAGAAGGTATGGACTGCTTTGCTGCAGAGAAAGAAGCTGCTTGAGCCCAATTATCATCAACCGAAAACAAACTTCAAAGTATGAAGGAGAAAGGCTCGGTTCAAGCAAGACTAATTGAGGAGCTCAAGGCTCGGTTGGCTTCAGAACTTACCAAGGCCGAATCTAACGCCGAAAAGGCAAAGGCCGATGCGAATGCACTCATGGCCGTCTATCGGGCCAATGCTGAAGCTGCCCAGGTCTAAGCAAGAGAGGCAGCCAAGACCGCCGATACACGAGCACATTGGGTCGCTAAACGTTTTAAGTGCCGATCTCGGAGGGACACCCTCGAGGAGATCCATGTTCGAGGTTTCGATCTCGCTGAAGAGATAAAAAAGCCTTGACTTCCGATGATGAAGATAATGATAATGATGACGATGATGGGAGTAAGAGCGAGTCCGAGAATGGGGGGGAGCCCGGTGGAGAAGAGACCGCTCCCGGAGATAACCAAGAAACTTAGCCCTTAGTTTCTATGTTGCAATCAATCATGTAAACAATCTTGTATATACATATAAATATCTTTTTCTTTTACCGACATGCTTCTATTTTGTTTCCTGCCTTGTGAAGATTTTATTCATGCCTTATGAATGTTTTCATAAGGATTTAGGCAATTTGATCGAATTTGGACTTCATAGCCTTTATAATCGAGTGAGTGTTTACTCAAACTTAAAATAAGGTAGCCCATAGGCTTAGTAGTCGAGTTGAGTGATTGTTTGAACTTGAAGTAATACACCCCGTAGGCTTATTAGTCGATTAAGTCCTTGCTTGAACTCGAAATAAAAGTAGCCCGTAGGCTTAGTAGTCGAGTGAATGATTCGAACTTGAAGTAATATAGCCCGTAGGCATAATAGTCGAGTGAGTTCTTGCTCAAACTCGAATTAAAAGTATCCTGTAGGCTTAGTAGTCTAGTGAATGATTCGAACTCGTAGTAATATATCCCGTAAGCGTAATAGTCGAGTGAGTGCTTGCTCGAACTCGAAATAAAAGTAGCCCGTAGGCTTAGTAGTCTAGTGAATGATTCGAACTCGAAGTAATATAGCCCGTAGGCGTAGTGGTAGTGTGAGTGCTTGCTCGAACTCGAAATAAAAGTAGCATGTAGGCTTAGTAGTCGAGTGAATGATTCGAACTCGAAGTAATATAGCCCGTAGGCGTAGTGGTAGTGTGAGTGCTTGCTCGAACTCGAAATAAAAGTAGCATGTAGGCTTAGTAGTCGAGTGAATGATTCGAACTCGAAGTAATGTAGCCCATAAGCGTAATGGTCGAGTGAGTGCTTTCTCAAATGAGAAATAAAAGTAGCCTGTAGGCTTAGTAGTCGAGTAAATGATTCGAACTCGAAGTAATATAGCTCGTAGGCGTAAGGGGCGAGTGAGTGCTTGCTCGAACTCGGAGATTTATCTCAATCCTGTTTTCATAATAAATCTCGAAATAGAGGAATATTTCTTGGATATGAGATATTGGTAAAGAAGAAAACTTTCTTTGCAAGTCATTATACATGTGTTCACTTTATTTGCAAGTCATTATACATGTGTTCATGTTTTGCGCCAGGGCTCGGGCCAACTACATGAGCATAGTTCGTTTTGACCATTTGGCTCTTACAATTTTTTCTATTGGAACCCTGTTGTTACGAAGTAACTTTCTTGCATCAGAACTTGATATATTTGAGCGCTAATGCCCCCCAGTATTCGAGGTCGATTGTAAAGAGGCCTCGGATACTGTCGAATTATTTCTAAGTTTAGCACGATCAATGGTTGCCTCATTAAAAGCCTTTCCGAAAAACCCATTTGGGATAAAACCGGTCTAAGGGAAAAAGAGTGCAACACGTGCTTTCAGACCTAGGACTTCGTATTGAAGGATCCATCCTTGTTCCTGATCGGGCTTCTGCAAGGGTTAGTTTCGAAATATAAATGAATATAGGAGGGTCGTACCTTAACAGTAGTATCATTTTAGGTGCGACACATTCCAATTGCTAGATAGTTGTTTGCCGTTTATAATACCGAGCTTGTATGATCCTTTTCCGACGTTTTCGAGAACCTGATACGGTCCTTCCCAGTTCGGTCCTAGTTTTCCTTCGTTTGGATTTCGAGTACTGAGGGTGACTTTCCTTAGCACTAAGTCTCCGAGTTTAAAATGGTGAAGCTTGGTTCTTCGATTATAGTATCTTTTGATTCGCTACTTTTGGGCAGCCAATTGGACGTGAGCAGCTTCTCGTTTTTCATCCGATAATTCGAGGCTAGTGTTCATTGCCTCATTATTTGACTCTTCTGTTGTATATAGAAACTTGGCACTGGGCTCCCCGACTTCGACTGGAATCAAGGCTTCGGAGCCATATACTAAGGAGAACGGGGTTGCCCACATACTAGATTTTGATGTTGTTCGATATGCCCAAAGAACTTCGGGTAAGATTTCTCTCCATTTTCCCTTAGCGTCGTTCAACCTCTTCTTTAGGTTTTGAATGATAGTTTTGTTCGTTGATTCGGCATGTCCGTTCCCACTAGGGTGATATGGTGTTGATAGTATCCTTTTTATTTTATGGTCTTTGAAGAATTTCATCACTTTGCTGCCGACAAATTGTTTCCCATTGTCACATACTATTTTGCGGGTATCCCGAATCGACATACGATATGATCCCAGATAAAGTCTATAACCACTTTCTCTCTTTCTTTCAGGAACGCCTGTGCTTCAATCGATTTAGAGAAATAGTCAGTCATAAATAAAATGAATTTAGCTTTACCTAGGGTCGATGGAAGAGGGCCGATGATATCCATTCCCCATTTTATGAATGGCCATGGGGATAAGACTGAGTGAAGTTGCTCTTCGGGCTTATGGATCATTGGTGCAAACCTTTGACATTTGTCACATTTTCGAACAAACTCCTTTGCATCTTTGTCCATATCGATCCAATAATACCCTGCCCTGATTATTTTTTGGACTAATGAATCGACACTAGAGTGATTTTCACAAGTGGCCTCGTATACCTCACATAGGACGTAGTCGGTGTCTCCTGGACCTAAGCATACTGCCAATGGTCCATCGAATGTCCTTCGGTATAACGTCCCGTCTGCAGTTAATGTGAATCAAGCGACTTTGGTTCGTAGGGCCCTCGAATATTTAGGGTCCGATGGGAGCTTTACATTCTTTAAGTATTCAATATACTTATTCCTCCAATCCCAGGTTAAGCTTGTAGAATTTATCTCGGCATAACCTTCTTCGATCACGAATCTCGAGAGCTGAACGAGAGTCCCCGAGCTTATCTCGCCTTCCTCGACCGATGATCCCAAATTTGCAAGTGCATCGGCCTCACTATTTTGCTCTCGTGGAACATGTTGTAAAGTCCAATTTTTGAAATGGTGCAAAGTGACCTGCACCATTTCATGTAGAGAGAAAAATTTGTGACTTCGATCTAACGACCTTGAAATGAATTGGCCCAAGGCTTCAATCCATCCTGTTAGCCTCTGTACGACTTTTACGTTGTCCACGATGGCGATGTCTTCAATGGCCTTGATTTTATTTGGGTTAATCTTGATCCCCTGATTTGACACCATGAAGCCGAGGAACTTGCCCGAACCGACCCCGAAAGCACATTTCTCGGGGTTGAGCTTCATGTTGTATCTTAAAATCTTGAATGTTTCATGCAAATGGGTCAAATGGTCCTCTGCGCGCATGGACTTAACTAGCATGTCATCAATATAAACTTCCATTGATTTACCTATTTGTTCCTCAAACATTTTGTTTACTAGGCGTTTGTAAGTAGCTCCTGCATTTTTTAGCCTAATGGGCATCACATTATAACAATATGTTCCATACTTGGTGAGAAATGAAATGTTTTCCTAGTCTTCCGGGTTCATTTGGATTTGATTATACTCGGATTAGGCATCGAGAAAAGTAAGGATCTCGTGGCCAGCCGTGGCATCGATCATGCGATCGATGTTAGGTAGTGGAAAAGAATCTTTGGGACATGCCCTGTTTAAATCCTTGTAATCTACGCACATTCTAAGTTTGTTTCCTTTTTTAGGGACTACAACTACATTGGCTAACCATTCGGGATATTTCACCTCCCAAATGGACCCTATTATGAGAAGTTTAGTTACCTCGTCCTTTATGAATGCATGTTTTACCTCGGATTGGGGATTTCCGTTTTGCTTTATGGTTGGAACCTAGGGTCCAGGCTTAGCCGATGCATCGTTATATCCGGTGGGATCCCTGTTATATCTAAATGGGACCAAGCAAAACAATCCATGTTATCGATAAGAAATTGAATAAGCATATTCTTGAGTTCAGGGGTTAATCTCGTTCCTAGGTATACCTTTCGTTCAGGCAAATTCTCGATTAGTATGACTTGCTCCAACTCTTCAATCGTTGATTGGGTAGCGTCGGAATCATCAGGAAGCACGAAGGATCGAGGGATCCTTTGATCATCATCTTCATCGATCTTCTGATTTTCTGGTTGGGTTAAAGCTGATATCTGTTATTCCTATTTGGCATCTTGTTCCCCTTTTGAGATCAATCCCTTTATTGGCGAAGGCGAGGATATTGGATTAGCTTCCTTGACGACAAATATTTCTCTTGCGTCCGGTTGTTCTCCGTACACTATTTTGACCCCCCTCGATGTTGAGAATTTAAGAATGTGGTGTAGGGTCGAAGGTACAACTCTCATGTTGTGGATCCATGGCCTTCCAAAAGGACGTTGTACCTCATGTCACCTTCA